GATTAATTAATAGATTAATAGATTATTTGTCTGTCCCTGATTTCCTCCCACTTTTTCCCTAAACTGTTCCAGCGCGTTCTGGTCTCCTGCCCTGCTGAGCCCAGGAGGGATCCTTGTGGACAAGGTATTCCCGAAGACCTAGGAGCTATGGGGACACGTGGCTGCAGCTGGTGGATTGGGCTTCACCCTAGGATGGGGTCTTTGGTGCTGCACGATGTTCCTGGAGTCTCTCCATGCTGAATTCTGGCTGTTTTGCATAGTTTTCTTTGGCACTTATTGCAGCCACTTGTGCTGATGGGATCTATTTGGAAAGATTAATTAATAGATTAATAGATTATTGATGGGATCTATTTGGAGCTTGAGAACTTGGGGACTCCATCTAGGATGTCTGCTCCTAATGTTGCCCTTCTTGGGAAGGGTGGAAGGGGATAGGCTTCTTGGTGAGCCCTGATATCTAAATACCTTGGTCTGCAGAGTGGGATTCTCTTTCCTAGGTCCTGCTGCCTCTTCTGTTGAGGCTCTGGAATCCAGCAGAAGGTTGTGCTTTTGGCTTGTGTGGGGTGTGCAGAGGGGAATGTGAAGCTGAGGAGCTTCCCAAGGGAATCAGAGGAGCCAAATCCCTTGAGTCCAACTGCTTGTTGTGCTGCCCATTTCCCTAGGCACAGAAAATACCAAGGTTTGAGCCTTACTCTTTGAAGCAGCTCTGTTTGAGACCACGTTTCTGTAGGAATGGTTATTCCTTGACTTTACTGGGAGATTTAACTCCCTTGAATACAGTATCGTTATTTTTAGCTCACTGGAGTGTTTTTAGGCTAATGAAAGCACCCACATTGGGCATTAGATGTGGGTTTGAGTCCGGAGGGCTTGTTCTCATTTTGCAGCACTTCAGCCAAAGCAAAGCACGTGCAGAACCTTCCTGTGAGCCCCGAGTTGTGGTGGTTGCTCCTTCCTCTTCCAAGACTTGAAGCAGTGGCTGTGATCAAATCCCAAGCTTTCAAGGCTGCTAGGTGTTATCCAAAATAAGGAATTGGTCTGGATGGGCTCAGAGCGGAGCCTCCGGTGTTGTCCTGCAGCTGGAACACTGCTCACCTTGAAGCTTGGCCACTTCAGGCAGGACTTTGGTGCTTGTCAGCACAAAAATCCTTCTGTGTTTGATCTTCCCTGCTTGATGGGAGGCTCCTGTAGGTGCCAGCAGCTAGAGATGCTTAATGAGGCTCTTTGAAGACCTCTTGATTTCCATGGCTTGTTCTGTGTGAGTTTAGAAGTGGCAGTGACAAGTCCTGTTGCCGGCTCGGCTCGTTTGGATTCCTTGGGAAAACCCCAAGGGCTGCTCGGCATTTTGCTAATCTCGCAGCAAATCTGTGCTCAGAATTTCAGTGAAGAGTGAGCTTGGCATCCCCCACCCTGCCTCTGGGTTGGGAAATGGCCTTTTCAGGCTCTGAGTGTCTATCAGCCTCATGATCTAAGGCTCGTAGGGAAGCTGGAATACCCAGAAAACGGGATCTTGAGCAGCTGCTCTCCTTTGAACTGCCTGCGCTTGACTCGCTCCGGGCACGGAGCTCAGCAGGATCATCCTGTAGTTGCTGCTCTTGGCTGCGATCTGGCAGAACGGGGAGCCTCTTGTGCTCGCAGGGCTTCCTCCTGCCTGTGAAGAAGCCAAAAATCCTTTAAAGGAGGGAGGGAAAAGTGAGCAGAGTCTCAGTGACGGTGGGTCCCTTTGGTTATAAGCTTGGCATGCAGAGCTGGGGACATGGGGGGCAAAATGGGGCTAGCGAGAGCCCTGGCAGCCCTGGAGGGAAGGGGCAGGAGTCGATGGCTCCTGTATTTGACTCGGATGTGGTGATAGTCGGAGCCAGCTGTAGTGACAGCTCTGCAGCGGGTTTCCTGCACAGGGCTCTCCTGCTGTCTTGATGCTCTTGTCTTCTCCCTACCCTTGTGCACTTGATGTCCTCAGCAGATGTTGCTCCTGCCTGTGGTCCTCTTCTGGATGGCAGGTGAATGTTGTCCTGTGGGAATTTGTGTGCAGGTTCCTGGGAGCTCTGTCCCTCCCAGATGGAAAAAAAAGGGGCTTTTTTCCCAAACCTGACCAGCTTTGGCACTGCAGGAATGTCTCCAGCATGTTCCTCTGCTCTCCTGCTCCCTGCCATGGGCTTAGCACCAGGATATGAGGAACAGCTGTGGCTAGAGGCAAGTTCACCAAAGTGTCACCTGCTGTGGAGGGGGAAGACGAAGCTCCGTGTTGGAGCAGAATCCTGACTTCCAGCTGCAGATCCTGCCTTGGGAAACACTCCTCAGCTTGCCACGACCTGTGTAATCACAGGCTGTGCATTAACCATTCCACCTTCAAATGCTTGCTGGTATGTATTTTTATTTTGTATTTGCTTCCCCCTGCAAAAGAGGGGGTGAGAGGGGTCGCTTGGCCAGGGTTAAAGCTTCAGAGCCGTGAAAATAAACAGGACCAGTTCCCATCTTCAGCATCTTGGACTCAGTAAGTAAAGGTGGTATCTGGGTTGCTCACACTTGCTTTGTCCTGGTTGCCCATGGGTGGCTTTCCTTTGTGGCCAGGTTATGTGGGACAGGGTCTCTTGCTCCCATCTCCTGCTGTGTTTGAGGGACGTGAGGCTCCCTCGCATGGGGTGACAACCAGGGAGCTCCTTTGCTTTTTGGAAACACGGGCTGTTGCTGTGCAGAGAGGGACAGTGCAACCAGGTTAGTGTTGCCTGAAACTTCAGAAACCTCCAGCTCTACTTTCAAAGCTTTCAGCTCAGGCTCAGCCCCTGGAACATGCTGAAAACATACCAAGAAATGGAGCTTCCAAGGGCAACAGGGCTCTGGAATGGTTCAATAAGTGCCAAAAAGGGAATCTGAACCTACAACCCACTTGGGACAGCAAGAACATGCAGAGAGCCTTCAGTGTGGTACCTTGGAGCACTTGGTCATCCCAGTTATGGAGCTGTGCTGATAACGTGGAGGCTAACGTGGATTTTCAGCTTGTTTTGCACTCTTTATCTCAAAATACAGCTTATCCAAACTAATTTATTGGTGTGCATCCTTCCCCGCTGCCCAGAGGGCCCTCAGTGCACTTCAGCTGCCATCTCAGGGTTAAGCTGTGCATTTACAGCGTGTTGAGCTGCAAAAACCTCTGCAATAAGTGACCTTTGGCAGGAAAACGGTGACAGAAAGTGCAAGGTTTAAGGCAAGCAGAGAAAGGGCCGCGATTGCTGCCGGGCTGGAGCCTGCGACACGCCGAGGTCGAAGAGCAGCGGCCCCATTTGCAGGCCGGGGTGTAACCAGAGAGCTCCTGCCCTCTGTGCAGGAAGGCCAAGGGCAAAACCATCCTTAAATCGCTGCTTTCTCCAAGTCTTGGCAAAGCTTTAAGTAAATAAATATCCTTAAGTGCCTGGCTTAGAGCGGGGGCAATCCACAGCCTGTCAGCTGGGACCTCGGGTGCCTCTGGAGCGTCATTTATGCTTAAAAACAGTTTTCCCCCAAAGCACTTAAGCAGAGATGAAGCAAAGTTGCTCAGCACAGCCTTAGCCACCAGCCTTTCAACAGGCCTTTCTGTTTCCTGGAATATTCCAGTTGTATTTACGGAACCATAAGCCCAACTCGAGATCCTCCCTGTGTCTGCGTAGTCTAAGTTTGCTAAAGGGGCTTTAAGTCACCAAGTTGGAGAACAAACATGGAAAAGCCACTTAGTGCCACTGGGTGCTGGTGATGTTGTGGCAGCTTTGAGGCCTCTGCTTGTTTTTGTAACCTTAGGCAAGTAAAATTTCTCTAATAAAGAGAGGAAATAGCCACCTTTCCTGCTCTAATCCCTCTTGGCTATCCCGAGCTGTGGGCCCTCCTGGCAGAGCGGCGCTTGCAGAGGGCAGGAAAAGGAGGGAGGTCTCCGGGATGGGAAGGACCTCGTGGGGATGGGATGCTGCCCTCAGGACCGGGAACTGAAGGAGAAGGGCTGGAGCGGTGCTGCCCCCGGGGAGATGTGGATACAGATGGATACAGGTGCTGCCAACATTGGCTCTTCCTCTGGGGCTTTGGGCTCCTATCTCTCAACGCTGGAGTCGCAGGGAATGTGCTAAACCAACCTGGATGTTATCCCAGAAACCTCCTGGGGTTCCTCACCTGCGAACTGAGACAAAACCCTGTTAGCTGGTGCTACCCCGAGTCGCTTCAAAGTTATTTCCCAGTGAAACAACCATCTCGAGATGGCCAGGAACTACCTGAGCTCAGATCTGGGTCTTCCCCTTCTTGTTTCTATTTTAAGCATGCAAAGAATTGGAGTATCTTTCTGAAAGGCACCAACTCAAATGGTTCTGCTTGAAGATGGGCTTCCAAAGGGAGCTTAGGCCCTCCTGTGGCTGCTGCTCAGTTTTGTTCACCGTGGAGCTGCATGTTCCCTGTTCCCGGGCGGAAAATGGGAACGGTGGCTCTAGCTACTGGCCTCGCCTGCGCCCAGACGCTTGGGCCCTCTCTGGTTTTAAGGATTCTTGTTGTTTTCAGGCATCCAGGCAGCTCCGCAGGCGTCTCTGAGCTCTGCATTTTGGCAGCATCCCCTTGGCGTTTGTGGAAAGAAAGCGGAGCAGCGCTCGCTCCAAAGGCAGATTCCAGAAGGGCTGCAAATAAGCGGCTCTTGCCACATTCTCCTGCAAATATCCCCAAGGATTGAAAGCCAAAGTGGTACCGGGGCCGCCCCGGCGGAGCGGGAGAAGCAGCGCGGATGTGGGTTCCACAGCTGTGGATTGAGTCCTACCTCATCCTACAGACTTGGATTTGTGGAATCGGGATCAAATTGCACCCCTGAGCTGTAGTTTCATGGGATCGGGATCCTAAGCCCGTGGCTGGGAGGTCCTAATCCAAAAGCAGGGAGCGCAGTCGGCAGGAAGCCGCCCCGATGCCGCCTGCTGCTCCAGCACACGCTGCCTGCTCGGCAGATCCGTGGAAACCTCTCCTGGCAGCTTAGCGAGGAGCCTGTGCCCGTTCCCACCCGGCCGTGCCGGCGCCGCATCCCAAAAAGCCGTGGGCGGAGGGCTGAGCCGGAGGAATCTCTCCGGGAGGAGAACCAAGGACCTGCTAAAAATAGCCAGGGAAAATTCCTTTGCTCCGGCCTTAAAGGAAAATCCCGTCCGTGTGGCCGGAGCCCCGGCTGAGCGGGCAAGGCGGCTCCGGGTGTGGAAACACGGAGCGGAACCGCGTCCTGGAAGAGGCTCCTGCAGCTGCTGCATTGCGGGACACAACGGCTGCTCTTTTTCTAAATGGACTTTGGTGCGAGCTCTTTTTTTTTTTAGGAAAATTGTGTGTTCCTGCATTGCTTGGATTTAATCATCCCCAGTGCTTGGCGGGGTGGGATCGGATGGCGGATTCGCTGGGGAGAACAGGGCTGGGGCTGCCCTTGAGGAGGGTCACGTGGAATCCCAGAATCTCAAAATGGCTGAGGTTGGACAGGACCTCTAGGGATCATCCTCAGGCGCAGGGCCCTGCCCTTGTCCTTGTTGACCCTCAGGAGGTTCCTCTGTGCCCAACTCTCCGTCGTGTCCAGGTCCCTCTGAACGGCAGCGCAGCCCTCGGGAGCGTCGGCCGCTCCTCCCAGCCTGGTGTCACCTGCAGACTTGCTGGGTGCCCTCTGTGCCCTCGTCCAAGTCACTGATGAACAAGATGAGGAGCCCCGGGCCAGGACTGACCCCTGGGGACACCACAGGCCCCCAATGGGACTTGGCCCCATTTGTCACCACCCTCCAGGCTCTTCTCCAGTCCTCAATCCACCTCCCTGTCCGCTCATCCAGTCCGTGCTTCGGGACACGCTTCCCCACGAGGATCCCCTGGGAGATTCTCCAGTCCTCAATCCACCTCCCTGTCTGCTCATCCAGTCCGCGCTTCGGAGCTTCCCCACGAGGATGTTCTGGGAGACGGTGTCTTCCTTCTGGAACAAATCTCACATTGCGGCGAAATCTCGTGCAGGAGAAGCAATGTGTGCCGGAGACGGCTCCCAGCACCTGGGATCTTCCCTTGCTGCTCCTTGGAAGGGATTTGCTCTCTCCGGGAAAGCTCTTCAGGTGGAAGGAGCTGCACGGAGTGTCCCCTTGGATCCAGCGCCTGCTCCAGGCTTTGGGTGCTGGATCCCAGCAGGTCCTCATCCATGGAGCAGCTGCAGTCCGGAGGGGAGATGAGGACTTCTTAGCCGGAGTGACCTATTCCCTCTGCTTCGTGCCGCAGATCCCGCTCCCGCGGTTCAGGATCTGCTCAGGTGCTCTCCCCAAATCCCGGGAGGCCCCTGCCCACATCTTGGCGCATGTGTGAGCTCCGTGCTACGAAATCTGGGAGCAAACAGGCTCCAGTCGGCTCCCAAACCTCGACCCATGGAGGTGACCACAGGGACCTGCAGCTCCGTCACCCGGATAGGCCTCACGCCCGTCTGCTCGGGCTGCCCTTCCTCCTCCTGCCTCCTCTTCGCAGGACGGTTTCCCTGGGGCAGTAATCAGGCCTGGGAAGGCTGCAGCTCCCGACCCCTTTGCAGAGCCTGCCCATCCGCACGTCCCTTCGCTTTTTGGATGTGAACAACAAATTTAAAGCCTCGAAATTTAGGCCCTGGGACAGCTCCCTGCGCACTAGGAAGCTCAGCCGGCCTCAAACAACGTTTTGAAACGGTGGAAAGGGAGGAGGCCTCCTCGGCAGGGCTGTTCATGCTTCTCCTTTCCTTTCCTCCCTCTCCGGAGCCGTCTTGCCCGCAGCTTTATTGGGTGCCTCGAGTGTCACAGGAGGAAGCTGCGGTTCTCGCGCTTCCTGGCCGCGCCGTCGCAGGTTTTGCAGCTCGTCGCCGTGCCCGGGCGGGCTCAGGAGCCCCTGCAAGCTGCCTAGCGGCGTCCCCTTCCCTTGGGGACATCCCTGGGGACCCCCCGGAGGACCCGCGCCCGTTGGCTCTGCTCCTGCTCCGCTCCCGGGGCCCTTCCATGGAGAACGAGGTAGGTCCGGGCGCTGCAGCCGCGCGGAGGAGCACGGGCGCCGCCGGGTCCTTCTTCCTCATCGCCGTCTCATGCCGCCACCCTCAATTCGGACCTTCCAAACTGCAGAATCCGGGCACTTCGGGGCTCGGAGGAGAGCCTGCAGTTTTCCTGCGGGGCTGGAAGGTTGGCTGCTTGCTCACAAGATCACCTGGAGCATCCATATCCCGGCCCCGGCCGGATTGCACACGGCAGCAGCTCCATCTCTCACCCCCATCTTCAAAACCCGCAGAGCAGAGCTGCTCAGCAAGGACAGGTTCACTATCACGTAGCTGTTTCTTCTGTCCCTTTTGTCCTCCCAGCTGCCTATTTTTGGCACACGCGGGTGGAAGGGAAGTTTTCCAGGGCAGGGCTGTCCCTGACGTCCTTGCGGTGCCTGGGAGCTGGCGAACGCTGTTAAAGCAGTAGCTTTTCGGTACCATTTTCTGCTCTTAGGCTCGTATTTCAGACCATTCTGGTCCCTCTTGGGTCTCTCTCAGTCCTGAAGGTCTTTGGTGTTGGTCTAAACTGAGGAGTGGAACAAAGCCAATATGTCCAAGTACCGAGGGGAGGACGCAGGGAGGACGGGGCCAGGCTCTGCTCGGTGCTGCCGCTGCCAGGACCAGGGGGAACGGCACAGGCTGAACCCCAGGCAGCTCCATGTCCGTGTGAGGAAGAACTTCCTTGGTGTGAGGGTGCCCGAGCCCGTGCCACGGCTGCCCAGAGAGGCTTGGGAGGCTCCTGCTCTGGAGATCTCCAACCCGCCTGGATGCGCCCGGGTGCCCCGTGCTCTGGGTGTCCCTGCTGGAGCCGGGGCTGCACTGGGGGGTCCCTGGAGGGCCCTGCCAGCCCCAGCCCTTCTGGGAATCTGGAATGCTGCAGAAGTTCATCTGTGCCTCCCATTCGAGCTGTGGGATCCCTAGGGATATGCAGGGATGGTGCCTGGTGGGCACCGGCCAAGCCAGAGCCCGTGGTGCATCCCGGCCTCCGCAGCCGCTTCCCAGGCGGAGCCGCGGGACAAGGACAGCCCGATGCTCCCTCTATAGCTGGGAATCCGTGTGTGCAGCTCCTGCAACCTCCAGCTCCCGGGGCAGCAGCGGCTCAGGTGTTTTTGCAAACACCCCCCTGGGCACCACTGTTGCGGCCTGAGATATTTGCAGGTCCCCCTGGAGCTTCTGCAGCGCAGACTTCCAGCCTCCCAAATCCGATTGTGGAGATCATTGCTCCAAACTTTATTGACCAGGCGCTGCCCTACACAAAGTGCATTTGTTCACCTATTCTTGCAGGGTTTCTTGCCCTCTCACTGCTGTTTCGTCGCTCGCTCTGCTTTTACACTGCCTGTAAGGAGCAAAACCCTCATCCCACTCAACCCCATCATGGAGACAGCATCTCGGAGGCTCTGTTTCCACTGGAGTCCCTGTTATTAGCCTAAAACGGGCGCGTGGTGGCGCGTCCCGCGGAGCTCTCGCCCCTAACCGTCCCCTTTCCGTCTCTGCCAGCAGCCGGGAATCGTGTCCCCCTTCAAACGAGTCTTCCTGAAGGGCGAGAAGGGCCGCGATAAGAAGGCCCAGGAGAAGGTGACGGAGCGGCGGCCCCTTCACACCGTCGTGGTGGCCCTGCCCGACCGCGTCGAGCCCGACGTCCTGCTCAACGACTACATTGAGAAGGAAGTGAAGGTAACTCCTGCCTCCTCCTTTGCCCCTTCCTTCCCGCAGGGGTGTCCAGCTCCAGCATTCATTGCAAAAGAATTTCCCTGGTTTTTTTGCTGCTGAAGACGTTGAAGTCGCATCCCAAATTGCCTTAAGGGCATTGCTGTCTCCTGAGCGAGCAGCAACAGCCACGAGACGCTGCTCCGAGTCACTTCCCGATCCTCCAGGCCTAATCCCAAGGGAATGCTGGGTTTCCAGCACCTCCCTCCCGGTAGCGGTGGGAGTGGATGGATACCCTGGTGTTAGACCTCCATAAAGCAGAGATCTTCCATACTGAGGTGCTGTCTCGTGCCTCCAAAGAGGGGCTCAGGCAGCAGCCGCTCTGCAGTGCCCTCTGCACGGGGTCCATGGTGCTCCCTCATCCAGCAGCTCCCGTGTTTGGCGCCCTGCTCGGTGTGCGTGTCCCCTGGTGACACTTTTGGGTCTTCTTTCCCAGTATTTAGGCCAACTGACGTCCGTCCCCGGCTACCTGAATCCCTCCAGCCGCACCGAGATCCTGCAGCTGATAGATAATGCCAAGGTGAGTGCTCAGCCCTTGGGAAGCTCTGGAATGCATCGCCAGAGACAAGTTGTGGGAGGGAGTTTTAGAGCTGGAAGAGCTTCCCAGGGAGCTGCCTTCATCTGGGCTTCGAGACTCTGCTGCACCAAGCTGCCTTCACCCCCATCCCCTCCTCTTCATCACTTAACTGCTGGTCGTGGGTATTTACTGTTATCAGGAAGCCCCAGCAAACACAACATGGCTGGATGAAGAGGTGGGAGAGGAAGATTCTCCTCCTTCTGGGAAGAGGGGCCTCCTCCCTGTTACCCAGCAGCTGCCAGAGGAGAAGCAGTTCAGATTGTAACGGCAATGTCCTCCTTTCAGAGGAGAAACAGTTCAGGTTTCGGTGGAAACGTCCTTGTTTCAGAGGAGAAGCAGTTCAGGTTTCAGTGGAAATGTCCTTGTTTCAGAGGGCACATCAGCTCCCGGGGCAGCTGACTCCAGAGCACGACGCCGTGATCAGTCTGTCCGCCTACAACATCAAGCTGGTGTGGAGGGATGGGGAAGACCTCATCCTCCGGGTGCCCATCCACGACATCGCGTCCGTCTCCTACATCCGTGACGACTCCTCGCACTTGGTGGTGCTGAAAACAGGTAGGTTGTGGCCAACATGGGCCATATGCTTGGGGGTTGTGCTGATGAGAGCTCATCCTGCTCTCCTTGGCCTTCAGGGTGTTAAATAGCCACACGAAATAACTGTGATGACACCCCGGGGCCTTGCGGGCATCTCTCCAGTCCCTTGGATTGCAGAGAGGAGCTGGAGCAAGGAAGAGTGTTTGAGGGTCTCCCCACTAAAGAAGAGGCCTTGGGAATTGGCCCGCAGCAGCTCTTCATGTGTTAAAATTGAGTCTTTTTTTTTTTTTTGGCTCAAGTGTTTGGGGAACGCTGAGCTGCTTAGGGGATATAATGACAGAGACTCATCGGATTAGAAAACCCTGTGACAGCAAAGGAGAGGCTGGAGAATAAATGAGTCGCCGGCTTGCAAGATTGTAATTCCACCTATGGGTTTTTGTGCCTCTCTAAGCCATGGAAATAAAGCCAGCGATTTCCAAAGTTGTCAGAAACCTCCTCTAAATTAGAGCCTCTTAATTGTGGGGTTTGATGGGGTCGGGGTGAGACGTCCCTTTCCGTGACGGATTCTCTGTTTCTCAGCTCAGGACCCCGGGATCTCCCCGAGCCAGAGTCTGTGTGCTGAGAGCTCCAAGGCGCTGACGTCGGGCTCGCTGTCCGAGAGCGGCGTGGTGCCCGTCGAAGCTTGTTGCTTGGTGGTCCTGGCTACGGAGAACAAAGTAAGGCTCAAACTGGCCGTCCTGCCGTGAGGTTGCTGCCAGAATTGCTCCGGAATTGATGCCTGAATGGGATCGCAGGGAGGTTTCAAGCGAGGTGGCCACAACCTCTTAGGTTGGCACTGGAGAAGATGGACCAAATTCTTCTCGGTGTCAGGACGAGGGGGAACGGCACAAGCTGAACCCCAGGCAGCTCCATGTCCGTGTGAGGAAGAACTTCCTTGGTGTGAGGGTGCCCGAGCCCTGGCACAGGCTGCCCAGAGAGGCTGTGGAGGCTCCTGCTCTGGAGATCTCCAACCCGCCTGGATGCACCCGGGTGCCCCGTGCTCTGGGTGTCCCTGCTGGAGCCGGGGCTGCACTGGGGGGTCCCTGGAGGGCCCTGCCAGCCCCAGCCCTTCTGGGATTCTGGGAACCAGGAGCCCCAGGCTGGCCTCTCTCATGGCCACAATTGGCACATGCTGATGTCCCCCTTCCGAGTGTCCCCTCTCTCACGAGCAGACATAGGCCTGGTTGTGACAAGGAGGGTCTAGGACTTGGGGTGGGTGACAAGCCCTGCACTGCTGGGACAGCTCTTGGGGGAGCTCAGGAGGTGGCCAGTGCTTGGATGCCCATGCTGGAAGTATCCAGAAGTGAAGTCAACTCCCTCTCTCCCACGTAGGGCTGGCTAAGGTGCTCTCCTGGTGCTGATCCCGAAACCTGCGTTCTCCAGGAGCCAGGATTTTTTCTCTCTGCCTGTTTGTTCCCATTTCCACAGCAGGAGCCCTTTACCTTGAGGGTGGAGTTTCACGCTCCTCATTTTCAGGTCTTTTATCTTTAGCACTCTCTGGGGTGCCCACAGCTATTTGGGATGTAGGTTGTGCCAGAACGAATGTCCAGGGAACAGAACCAAGGAAGGAGAGCAGGACAGCGCACGGAAACGAAACCTGGATGTTATTTAATAGTTGTGAGTTGATTATGAGGATGACGGAGCCTCCTGCTGCCTCCGACCGTGTGGGGGAAGAGCGCTGGGATGTTTCTGGGGCTTGCGGAAGGGCGATGGGCAGCGAGGGGTCATAGAATCATGGAATGCTGAAGGTTGGCAGGGTCATCCAGTCCAATCCCCCTGCACACGCAGGGTCACCTAGAGCACGTGGCACAGGGCTGCGTCCAAGCGGGTTTTGAAGATCCCCAGAGAAGGAGACTCCACAGCCTCTCTGGGCAGCC